AGAAGGGTGCCACACATAGCACACACCCTATGCCAGTGCCCTGTACTGTAGGCAGCACCCATGGCACTGGGTCTAGCCCATGCACTACAGGTAGGACAAGCCCCAGAGCTGGACCTGGTGCAGTGGGTGCTGCTCACAGTACAAGGGACTAGCATGGGGCATACACTGAACAAGGTGCCCCACTAGACAGCCTCATGCGTTGGTTCCAGTATGGCCCAATCCAGACTGGCCTTGGAGCCTGAGTGCAGGGTTGACCCAGCACAGATCAACCCCCTGTGCCATGAGCAGCACCAGATCCAGCCTATATGCCACACTGGCTCTGCATGCAGCATCAGTCCAAAACCCACACATCAGATCCAGTCCACAGAACCCATGTTTGACACCCCTAAACTAAAGCATTTGAACAAGTTTCACTGATTAAGTTCAACTAGTCAACAATTCATTGATAAAAGAACTGGCTTTTATTATCCATTAATGCCAATTTAAACCATATTAATAGCACCAAGTGGTTTTAAATCTGCCAGAATTTGACAGTTGAGAATGATAGTGAGAAACTAACACAGGCAGTTAGGTCCCTTTTGTACAAGCTACCCCTTGACTCATGACATGATACAAAAGAAAGATTATAGACTAACTGTTGGACATCTGAAAAGTTCTTAGGGACACACTATAATTCTCCACTTGCTAATCCACATTAGCAGAGGCAATATTTAATATCGAAATATTACTGCAAAAAAATGTATCAGGAAGAATATCTCAATTATAAAGAGATGGTTCATACACACAGAAGGATGAGAAAGTGGCTTTAAGTGTGGAGGGGGAGGAACCTGTTGGAATGAAAGTTTACACTCTGGAAGTATAAACTATACCCAAAGTCAGTGGTTTACAAATATATTTACAAACATTTGCAATAATGTACCAAAGATGAGAACTTTAAAAATAAAACAAGACCACTGGATATCAGTAACTACTGAAGAAGCAACACATCTTTAACACTTGGGCAAGTAACAGAAAATATTACCAAGGAATACTGGTATAATAAAAGGAGCATTATCGAGTACTGAAAATTGATTTTAATAAGGCAATTTTGTTGCATCTTTAGTAGTAATAGGTATTCCAATAATCTGACATCTCCAATTATGTAAAGAAAAGTTATATAAAGGGTGCAATTTTTAATAGTAAACCACAGAGACAAAAGTTAGCCTAGATAAAAGTTATATTATTCTAGGAAAGGGATCCTTCCCTGCCATATGGGTCAAGTTTATAGAAGGTCATCTCAGTCTATTACTTATATGCTTATACATTTTGCATAAAATAGATGACACAAACTAAAACAAAAGTAAACATTAACAAGAGTTGAGGAACAGAATCAGGTAAGAGTAAGATGGTAATAATCACCAGCACCCCTAGAAAAGCTCCTCATTCATACAGACTACTTGATCCTTAATTCTGATAATCTTTGTCTGGAGACTGACCTCTAGAGAAATTTTCTTCTCGCTGCTTTTCCTTTTCTATGATCTACTTGGGGAAAAATCTACATGGAGGAACAGAAGTAGGACATTGACAGCAAATCACATGTACACTTCCATTTCCACTGGCTCAACTACAATTATCAAAAACGATATTTTCCCTAAAAGATTAGTTACTAGTTCAAACTTCAATGCAAAGAAACCCAGTTAGACTGGAAAAAAGAAAGGCTTCCAAGAACTAGCAAATTCACTAGCCTCCCACATTCTATCAAAGAGAGATACATGTATTAAAGATGTGAAGCCTGAATGTTTGAATTGTCACTTTGCCTACAAATCCAGGGAGCTTTTTCCTCTACACCCAGTTGCTTTTTCCTCTAAACCAACACAGCTATGGCTTGGATACCTAGCTACACACACACACGCTTATATGTATGTACACGCACAAATATAAGCACATACACACAAAATAAATTGCCTTGCAATTACAGAGATTTATCTTGTGTGTAGGTAGTTGTGTATATACACACAAAATAAATTGCCTTGCAATTACAGAGATTTATCTTGTGTGTAGGTAGTTGTGTATATACACACATAAATACAAAATGTGTGTATGTGTGCGCACACACACACAACGTTATGCCATTAGCGTAGGAGGTTGCAGCCCCAGCCCGACCCGTCAGCCCCCGCGCACAGCCGGGAGCGGAGCAGGGCTCTTGGCTCAGGAGCAGCCGCCCTGATCTCGAGCCTCCTTCGGGTCCTCCGGAGCCGGGGGGGGGG